CTGTTTTGCAGACAATCTCGAGAAAGGATCTGGTATGGGAGAGGTCAGTGATTGCCGAGTGATTTGCCAAAGGCTACTGAATAATGTAACTGGAACTAAGGAATTTTTAGTCTGGGGTCCATCCCGCTGCAGGAAAGCGAGGAGTGAAGGCTTGCATGCAGATGTGAAGGGACACTTCACAGAACTAGAAGCTGACAGACGTTATGAAGAGGACAGAGTTTAAGAAGGGGAAAGAATGGGAGCACATGAGGGCACTGAAGTACAGAAAAATAAGTAGTATGTCCAGTGTCAGAGAATTCACTTCCACATTTCATCGTGATCATGTGACTTTAGTGAGGTTGCTGCAAAAACTGACCTGTTCGCATGTGAGACGTATCTAGATTATCTCTATCAGCTGTTGCCGTTTAGCAAGATCAAGCAGTGTTCACTCAGGTGTTTCTTGTGAAAATGAGAACACCGTGTAGCTTGTGTGACCCTGTCCTCAACACTCAGAGTATGATCATTTAGGCTTCCTGTTTTCAAATGTATGAAAGTTATTCTTGGGTTTTTAAACTTATTTTTAAAATATACCACTTCAAATTAACTTATCTTGTTGGTCTTTAGCCAGTGTTTAAGGAAACATCTATTGTTTTGTATTACTACTTCACATTCACTTTAGCTGAAGAACTCTAGAGTTTACTGTGAAAAATGACATGACAAGCAGGTCAAATAATGTTTTAAGAGAAGGGATTTCTTAGAAAAATTATTTAAAACAGCTTTTATTTGATCTTTGGCAGCTTCATCCTTTAGAATATCTAACATGAGGTTGCTGAATCTCCTTTTGACTTCTTCCAGCTAACCAAAGAAAAGGTGCTCGTTAGTTTATGATCCAAATTTAATGCAGAAGAAGAAGAAAAATATTCAAAAGAGGAAAAAAATGCAAAAGTAATTTTTGAAGTTTGAAGCCTCATAAATCCTATTTTAAAATGGAAATGCGAATTATTTTAAAAAAAAATCATTAGTAAATAGTAGCTCAGTCCAACACCAGGTGAGTCAGAGGGCGTTGTGGCAGAGTGTGAGATCCAGGTACTTTTTTTTTCCCCAAGGTGCTTAATTGTCTGATTTTTGGCCACAGGAGGTTGCTTGTTGCCTCTCACGCAGTGTTTCCAACCCGGTGTGGTGGCGGTGGTTCCGTGTTAGTTTTCTCGAAAGTAATAAAATAAAAATAAAACGCTGGGGTTACTGGCAGATGCACACACAACTGAATCTGAGGTTTCCTGTTCCTTTTTGGGCTCTGCCTCCCCTAGGGGAGGATGAGGCAGGGTGGGGCGGAGGTTTTGGGGCTGTGTCAGGAGGCAGGGGTGCGTACGCGGTGAGGGCTGCGTCTGCAGTTTGAACCTTGGGCTGCAGGTCCGGTGGTGAAGAATTCTGTCTTAACGTGCTGTCACGTTAAAATGTCCCCTGCTCATCTCCTCTCACCCCACCCCACCCGTCCTCCCACCTTTTTTATTTTTATTTTTTTTAAACAGCGATCTTTGGGCATCAAATGCTGCAAAAGGTAATAAATTATGAAAACCAAAAAGAGTTAGAATTTACGAGGTTTTAAAATTTGTCAGGTTTTCTCTTTTGTTCGTCGCGATTCTCAAATCTCTCTTCCCATCTTTAGTTGTGTGTTGCTGATAATGTAATTCTTAAGCTTTTTAAGTTGGTTTAGCTCTATAGGTTGTTTTGCCTATATAATTTTCACTGAGTGAACAGGATCTGCTTTTTAAAGCCTTTGCTTTCCCATTTGCCCTGGGAGTTTGCTTTGAGAAAGAGTTTCTTTACTTTTGCTGCTGCCTCTGGTCACAGGAGACCCCAGTATCAGATGTTTGTTTGATGGTCTTACAAAAACAAACATGATCATCTCTAAAAATCCAACCAGCTCTCACTTACCTGGTTCGTATGGCATCCTGAAAAATTTTGTGGTGTTTACCTACTGAAGTTTTCTACAAGGATGTTGCACATTGTAACAGTATGTAGACATATGCCAGATTACTGCACTTGGGCAAAGAATTATCATTTTAAGCAAAAGTGTGGTTAATTGACACACCCTGTATGATTCATGCTAAAGGTGGAAGCTTGAAAGAGACGGGTGAATTTAAAAGGACAAAGGAAAAACGTTAAAACGCTACCTGATAATCCAGCACATTGTCAATTAAAGCAATCATTTCTTTAAAACGGCCCCTTATTGCATAAGATCTGTTTGTGAAATTACTAATTTGTCACAGCAGAGACAGATAAGGGTAAGTGTTATTTCCTCAAAATGGCCAAGCCTTAAGGATAAAATCTGTGTTTGGAGTTTTTTTAAGAGCTGAAATGCCAAAATTTGTGATTGCAAAAGAAGATAGAAGATAGTGCCTTTTTTTCAGCTGGTCAGCTTTTCAAAATTCATTAATTTTCAATTCTCCGTTCTTTGCTTCACTCCTGACTCATGTTGGTGGGTCAATGTTCATTTGGTTTTTAGGAGCTCTGGGTAAGTTGGAGAGCTCTGCATAGCCAAGGGTGGACTCCACTAGCAGCACTTTCTGCGGTTCCTTTTTTTCAGCTGGTCAGCTTTTCAAAATTCTTTAATTTTCAGTTCTTCGTTCGTTGCTTCAGTCCTGACTCATGTAGATGGGTCAGTGTTCATTTGGTTTTTAGGAGCTCCAGGTGAGTTGGAGAGCTCTGCATAGCCAAGTGTGGGACTCCAGTAGCAGCACTTTCTGCAGTTCCTAACGCTTTTGAAGAACTGGCTACCTTCCAAGCTTTAGACTTGTTCTCAGACTCAGGGCAAATGAATTGAAGCCTCTCTTTCATCAGTATTCATAATGTCTGGTTATATGGTAGCCATACCTTAAAGGTAGTTTGTTGTTGTGAAATAGCTACTTCTAGATGACAGAGTTCACATCTCTGGAGGAATGACAGCCTGACTAAAATGAGACAGTAGCCTCTATGCAGAGGGCACTCCCTCTGAGGACCATCCCCTGGGTAGTAGGATCAGAGGGAGCAACAGTATGAAGATGCCATATTTTGTCAAAATAAGGGCATGCCATATATTTTGGAAAAATCTTCAACACCTCCTTCTCGTTCCTCTGAGAAGCCCCGGGCAAAGCTGCCTTCCTGTGCAGCAGCTGCTTGACTGTGGTAGTTTGGTGGTTACGGGGACCACAAGGTTTAGCACCGAGAAAAAAGGAAAGTCTCTTTTTCTCAGCCTGGTCTCTTACATTGCCCGGGGAAGCACTGCAGAAGGGCCTTGGCAGAACAGTAGTTCTCGTGTGGGAATTGCTGGGGGATGCTGAGAGGAAATGTTACATAGAGGTCTGTTTTTCTCTCCTTGTTCCTCTTTTTCCTTTTTATGCAGATCACAGTTTCTAAAGAGAAACATAAGTTGCGTGTGTGGTGAGTCTTCCAAAACGTTATGATTGTAACCGTCAATAATTATCTACATCCAATGATGATGGGACAAAAATGTACCATCTTCATTTGATAAGAGGAAGATGCCATTAGGGGAAAGCTTTCTAGCCAAAAGGTAGTGATGCAGTGGACCAGGCTTTTTAGGAAGTTTGCAGAATCTTCTAAGAACAGAATGGGTTGATGCAGCTATATTAATATTACCTCATTGCTAGAGGATCTGCTGAGGACAGTGTGCCCATGTTTCAAGATTTCTGCAATTGTTATAGAAGAAATGAAAAAATCAAGGAAGATACAATGAAGAGAAGGCGTGATGGTGTCAAATCAATAGTTTGGAAAATTACTTTTAAATCTGAGCAGCACAGGGTGACATTTGTCAATGTCAGAGAAAGAGACACCACATGAATACACCTCTGAGTTGACTGAAGCCAAAATCAGGATTAGTTTGAAAGGTAGTCTGAAGCAAAGAGATTTCATATAGAAAGACCCAGCAAGTTTTAGAGGCAGCTTTTGTGTGAGAATTTAGGAAGAGGGTTTAGTAAAAGATTTTGCGATCGTGTGTGCAGATAGCAAGATGCCAGATGGAAGGAAAGTAATCTGCAATGAGAAGTAGCTGTGTTGATGATCGGGGGCTCACACAAGTAATAGTTTTAAACAAATATAAGATGAGATCTTCTATGGAGGAAGCGGTACAAGAAATGTGGCAGATGTCAGTTGTGAAAAATTGTTGTAAATTGTAGAAAAACTTGTCAAAAACAGTTCTGAGCTTTTATTAAAACATGGTTTGTGTGTGTAAAAGTTCTCTTCCGACTGTCTTTGGTGATTTGGTTGCATTTGGTGATTTGATGAAGTGAGTATCAGCTATACGTATGAACTTGGGCTTTCTTTAGGAAAACAAATTCCTTGGTAGATTGCTGGAGCATTGGCATGAAATTTATTCATCCTCTATCAGCTGGTAAAAGTTCTCAAACTTGTTTTTAATTCAAAGGGAAGAGTTTTTTGTTCACGATAGCTACTTCGTGCCTTTCTCTGGTGATTCCTCACTTTGAGTCTAAGGCTGTACCCCTATTGCTGCCTATTGCTACGTTGTTGAGTCCAGAGTTTAATAAAGGTTGTTAACTGTCAGCAAGGACTGCAGTGTCCGAGATAAGGATTCCTTTCAAAATGCTGTTCTCTGCAGAATTAGCAGCTTGTCTGCTTTTTCACCATTGTACAGCACGGGAAACCGGTAGGCGGGCTGTTTACATGAGGTGCTATTACAAAAATATTGTACGTTTCAAACAGAGTAATCAAACTCCAGGATCCTGAAAGGGTGGATGAAATCCAAGCTTTGAAGCAGAGGTTCCTGACCTCACATAACTTATTAACAGTCTGGTTCTTTATAGTCAAAATAAGGAAATCACTTTTTTCCTAGGCTTATTCAAAACCATTCCTGACCTCACATAACTTATTAACAGTCTTGTTCTTTATAATCAAAATAAGGAAATCACTTTTTTTCCTAGGCTTATTCAAAACCGTAACTGTGAATTTTAATTGAAAAAACGTTTACAGAATTGTTACTGAGCTTGCTTATTTTAACATGTTTCTAGGTGGAGGACACTCGGTGGATTGTGAAGCGTTCCAGGCACCATGGCAGATCCCATCCGCTGGGCCAGATACCGCTGGCAGCGACTCATATCCACGGAGGGTGGAGAAGGTAGCAGCAGCAGCAATTCAAGTAACAAGTGCTATCAATCATCAAAAACTCTTGGCAAACACAGGATAGTGATACCCTGTTTGGGACATTTTAAGGAAGAGTATGAAAAAGTATCAAAACTGTACATGAACAACAAAATACGGACTACTAAGTATACGTTATTGAATTTCTTACCCCGGAATTTATTTGAACAGTTTCACAGGTAATGAACTCCTCCTCATTGTGGTAATTCTTCTGAAGTGGAATCCTTTTATTTAAATGTGTGTGTTACTATATAGATGGGTAGTCAAAAATTATTCCTCTTCCCAACCTGCCTGTCATTTCTGAAAAGATCTGTGTTACGGACTACTAAGTATACGTTATTGAATTTTTTACCACGGAATTTATTTGAACAATTTCACAGGTACTGAACTCCTCCTCATTGTGGTAATTCTTCTGAAGTGGAATCCTTTTATTTAAATGTGTGTGTTACTATATAGATGGGTATTCAAAAATTATTCCTCTTCTCAACCTGCTTGTCATTTCTGAAAAGATCTGTGCTGTTTGGCCAAAGTCTCTTGAGTATCATCAGTGTGGAGCTAATCCTTTTCTCCATAGCGTATGTAGTTTCCGCTCATTCTGTTCTTCAGATTATTGAAATATTTCTTACATTTGGAGCACTGCCACACAGCAATCTGCAGGATGATTTCTAGCTCATTTCCTGCAAATGTTTTGCTTCCCTTCCCTCATGTCTTTCTGTTGCCAATTTTTTTTATCTTCCTGCTCGGAGAACTGCTGATTTGTAAAGTTATGCAGGGAGGTTACAGGATGGCTCCCTTTTAAAAACATGTCATCTCCCCCAGGAAATTTAAAAGACCTGGAAATTTGAGAGAGTGCAAGTTCACCAAAGCCTCACTAGGAGACAGGTCCAAGCCTGGAGAACAGGTCTGAAAATGCAGGAAAATTCTTGGTTTCTGCATCTTTTGATCATGCATATTAAACAACTGTGCAGCCAAGTAATCTATTGACTGGAGAGTGAAAACAGAGTTGTGGATACTTAGTTCTTAAATTGCCATTGGGATGAAGAAAAGATAAATTACTGCTAACTTAAGTGTCTGTATAGTATGGAGTGTAGGAATAAGGGTGACTGGCTAGCACAGCTAACTCTGCCAAGTAATCTATTGACTGGAGAGTGAAAACAGAGTTGTGGATACTTAGTTCTTAAATTGCCATTGGGATGAAGAAAAGATAAATTACTGCTACCTTAAGTGTCTGTATAGTATGGAGTGCGGGAATAAGGGTGACTGATGGCTAGCACAGCTAACTCCTGTGATTTCTCTTTGTTTCAGAGTTGCCAATTTGTATTTCCTATTTCTAGTTGTCCTAAATTGGATTCCTCTGGTGGAAGCCTTCCAAAAAGAAATTACAATGCTACCTCTAATAGCGGTTCTGACAATTATTGCAGTGAAAGATGGTCTGGAAGATTACTCAAAGTACAAAATGGATAAACAGATAAACAATTTACTAACCAAAGTATATAGCAGGTAAGAGACAACAGTCTTTCTGGGGTTATTATTTGATTATGAGTATATGTAAAAAAAGTTGTTGATAAATCTTTTGGTTTGCCTTCTGGTTACTCCAGAATCCTAAAATAAAGTTGGAAGTGGTCTGTGGTCTACTCCAACCCCCTGCTCAACACAGGTCTAATTAGTTCAGGTTGCTCAGGGACTAGTCTAGTTGAGTTTGATCACCAGTTTGACTAAATGGATATCAAATTAGTGTAAAATTTGGTGAAAAAACTGCTCTTTGGTTGAGGCAAGAGTGTTCATGCATGAGTTTGTAGTGTATTAAGCAAGATAGATGGACTAGTTAAGCGTTGTTCTACATAGCATTTTTTTTTGAAAGGCGTATTTTTAATTCCTCTAAAATCGCTGTAAGCATAATGGAAATTCAAAGGTTGCTAATTTATCGCTATATTGGTAAAGCTCACTAATGGTATCAGGATTTACTCAAAATGTAATAACACTTCCCCAAACAGGATGAGATCATTTTCTATTTGAGTGCGTGATGTAGTTTGGTACCCGTGTTAGCATCTGTTCCATGGCGCGGGACTGCAGCATCGCAGGATGTAGGTGCAGGTCAGGAGTGGATCAGGCTGGTGGTGAGGGTTTTGCTGGCAGGCAGTTATTATGCATGGATAATACAAAGACAGGAACACAAGCTGATCATATTCTAAAGTAACTGGCAAAAAACCTTCTTTTAGTGCACGTCAGTGCTACCCGCATCATTGTTTTTCCTTTATACCTGTCATAGAATCATCTAGGTTGGAAGGGACCTTAAAGATCATCTAGTTCATGATGTTAAATACTTAGTTATCAAGTCCTTGTGCCTTTTGAGTAAATTACCATTTTAAAGTAGTAGGATCTTACATAAATATCCATGGATTCCAAAGTAAAAGGCACTTCTGTTTTAGCATCTGTTAAGTTCATGTAGTCTGTGTCATTTCGGTAGAACTGTGGTGAGGTGATTATGATGGGAAAATCCATTTATTCCCCTACTGACCTACTACTTAAGACAGTTAAACTTTTTGTCTGACTTCGTGCTGAACTGGATAAAGAACATGTGTGTGATCCATCTGCTGCAGCAGCAGCAGGAGGGAGAACTTTGCTGGCTGGTATTTTTTCCTCCTCTCTCAACTGTATTTCTGTTTCATTCCAAGCCTCGCATGTAGATGTGTTATAATTACTGTACTTTACAAATGCATGTTTATGCAAATTATGATCATTGTATATCTTTGAAATCCAGATATAATTTTGTATCCAATTTCTCTTTATGAAATTGCCATCTGGAAAGACTAATCCTTTCTACAAGATTCTTCCTTACCTTGAGCTTTCCTTTCCTCTCTCAGACTCCAGCCTGGCAAAAGGAAAGTGGGACTCCTCCAGGTGCATCAAGTAAAAAGAAGCATCATATACTTTTGGTCTCATGTTTATTAAATAGGTAGTGGTTTAAAAGAGAAATATTTGCCGTCTCCTGAGGACTAATCACAACACTGACAGCACAGACAAATAGGTTTCTGTAGTTTTCAATGAAATAGGCGATAGTTAGAAATAATATAGAGATGCGAGAGTATCAGCATTTTTCTGTTTTTAATCTCTAGTAAACAGTTACTTCTGGGATAAAGCAAGGGGTTGCTTTGTCACAAAATTCTTAGTTTCCAAATACTTCTGTGGTTTTACAAATTCCAATTCACTTTGAAAAATTCCTGTAGTGGGATTCAGTGGCAGAAATTGACAGCTTTTCACCTGCTATTTTTATCTTAGGAGGTTAGCGATGCCTTTGCTTGCTTTGTTTTTGAGCTTACTTTGTCCTGCTGCTTACCTTTCCGTTTACATCCTTTCTCTAACTCTTCTAGACACAAGCTGGCCGTGGAAGTCATTTTCTCCCACCGCCCTCCTGGGCTCTCAGGTCCCTTCCATCCTGTTTGGAGGGTGAGGTCAAAGGGTGCTGTTGTGGAGTGACCAGGGCATTCTGCTCCAGTTGGTGCCGTACCATAATTGGACTCACTTGGCCTTCGTAGCTGGGTAAATTGGCCTAAACAAAAAGTTACGCTGATGTAGTTTTCAGTACCTGGGAGGCAGTTCTAAACAAAAGGAAAAAAGATGGCTAGTTTTCAGCTTGCTCATTTTCCTGAATAGATTTACTTTGTCAGCAGCTTTGCAGCTTTCAAAGCTTAAGTCATACCTTCAGTAACTGAAAGTCACATCCTGTTTCAGCAAATCTTTCTTCCCTTTTCCTGTTTACCTCTGTTATTAGGTTAATTTTTGTTAATTTACTTTAGAAATTTTTTCCTTCCAAGTCTAATTTTTGTTAATTTACTTTAGAAATTTTTCTTTCCAAGTCTTTTTTTTTTTTTTTTTCCTTTATTTTCAAGGAAATGTACTTCTCTGAAAAGTTAATTCCTGCAGTGCTTTTTGAGTCCATTCATCTGGTGATAACCATGGCTGTAGCTTTCCTGCAGTGCTTTTTGAGTCCATTCATCTTGTGATAACCATGGCTGTAGCTTTAATTAATTTTTACATGCTTTCCTTTGTGCTGGTTTTCCATCTGTGTAGAAAACTAGTGATGAGCATCTTAAGAAGAAAACAGATGGATCTTGTATTGGTTTGATTTTATGTCAGCTTTTGTTCCTTCCTGTTTTGGCTTTGTTTGCACTTTGAAAGCAGTGTGACCACCTCCACCTTATCTTCACTGGAGAAATTGCCATCAGCGTGCAGACTTGTGCAGGCTTTGAGCCTTCTGCTTGTAGACAAGCATTTTCGAAAGGGTACTTGTCACATATCTCAGGTCTGAAAGGTATGGGTGCAAAACTTGATACAGGGAATATTTTTCTGATATTTTTTGTCATTAGAGGCATCTTTCTATTTCACTTTTTTTCAGAAGCATTTTACATAGCTAGCACTTTAATCAAAGTTAGTACTTAAGTGCCAGTCTACCCACAATGGCCGTGCTGCGGAGCTTGTTAGCACTGCCCAGCTCCCCCATGCAAGTGAGCTTCTTGGCCAGCTTAGAATGAGGTGGAATCATAGAAATGTGCCCACAATGGCCGTGCTGCGGAGCTTGTTAGAACTGCCCAGCTCCCCCGTGCAAGTGAGCTTCTTGGCCAGCTTAGAGTAAGGTAGAATCATAGAAATGTGGGGAAGAGTGTGGCCAGCAGGTCAAGGGAGGTCATACTCTCCCTCTACTCTGCACTGGTGAGGCCACGACTGGAATACTGCATCCAGTGTACTCTGTGCCTCCCTGTTGCTTGTTACCTTATGTCCTGTTCACCACTGGGTACCTGTTTGTGCTTGCAATAAACTGCTGTGATTGCGTAAAGGGAAGGTCCTTCATCTCAGCTGAGGACAGAACAGCAGCTCTAAATGGGTAGTTGAAAACGGTTCAAACTTACGTACATCATGCCTGGATATTTCATATTAACAAAGAATTTCAACTCAGTGCTGACAGCCCTGAGCCTTTATTGACTTCCTGAGTATTATAGAGTCATGGTACCTTATGTTCAAAATTAATGGAAAAGATATTTTAAAAGCCTGTAAACACAAGTATTTATATTCAGAGCATCAGTGAAGTGGTTGCTGAACGTTCCTTGCCTACTGGTAGTTGTTCATCATCTTGTGAGACAGAGACTTTTGAAAGGCTCTCTCAGAAGGAAAAAAAGATTTGCTGTTCTTGGTTTCGTAATTGCAAGAAAAAATGGTCACCCAAAGAGAAATCCTAAAAACAATGTTTCCTTTCCAGGAATAGCGAAAATACAGGAAACAAGTGGGCTGAATTTTGAATAGAGCTAAAATAGTTCTGGGAGGGTGCCTGGAATGTAATTCCCAGAAAAACAAGGCTTGGACCCCAGAGCTGATTCTTTGTAATTATGTTCACCTTAAGCAAATAGACTAGCTCATCAGAGGATTTTTTTTAATGACTTGGAAGAATAAATTTAACTATTAGACTAATTTTCTAGTTACAGTGTGTTACTCTGAGCTTTCAGTTTATGTATTTGTAAAAAAAATTACTTTTTAAATCTGTATTTCAGGAAGGAGAAGAAATACATAGATGAATGCTGGAAAAATGTCAACGTTGGGGACTTCATCCGGCTGTCACGTAACGAAATCATTCCTGCAGACATGGTGCTGTTATATTCCAGTGACCTGGATGGGATCTGTTACATTGACACGGCAGGCCTCGATGGAGAAACCAATCTGAAACAGAGGCAGGTGGTGAGAGGATACTCGGAGCAGGTGATGATTGTGCATTTCTAGTGCTGTAAGAAAGTTGACATGGCAGATGGTCAACTAAAAATAAAACCGAACAACCCAGGTGTCTAGATTGCCTGTTTCCTGATAGCTCAGCCATCCCTATCTGAAAATAAAATAACTAGGCAACAGAGTTCGGATTTGTGGCTTGAGTTAGTTTGGAGCAAATTTTTACGTGTTCACTTAACCCAGAGAAAGATAGATCTATTTCAAGTAATGCAAGCCAGTAAAAATAAGTATTCAGATAAATGTCAAGAAGTCATTTATGGTGCATATCATGTCATGGGTGAGAAATTGGAATTTTCTAGAAGGGAATTGTGTGCTATATAAACATCTAGAGAGAGGAGGAGATACTGTCTTCTCTATTGCATTTTTTTTCATATTGCAAATGTATTTTTACCTCCATACACTACTTAGTATTGTACCCAGCAGACAAAATGCTGGGGGCAGGCACAAAGAAGATGGTATCAAAAGAACAAGGAATCCTGGCATTTCTGCAATCTTCAGCAAGCCTGGTACTAAGTTCTGCTGCTGAAACGCCATGCTGGGAACAACAGCAGGGAGACTGGGTGCTGTCCATAATAACAGGAGATAAAATGACCTGAACTGCCTCTGAATTGTCAGCAGAGGTGAGAAAGTGAGGAGCGGTACCTTGTTGTGCATTCAGACTCCCCTGTTACTTGGCGAGTATTGTGATACCAAAGGCATGATATGATATCCATGAACAAAGCTGTTTCTTATCCCCTTACAGTGAGTGACACGGTTTTGGTGTCTTTTTTTCTTTCTTGATTTAATCTTAATAATGCAGAAAGCAGTGTTTGATATTTCTGTGTGCATATATCATTATGAAAGACAAAATTCAAACGGTTCTGCAGGTTTACATCATACTGAGGTGGCCCTGTTCTCATACCAGCTCCTGCTACCAAGGTCTGATTTCAGTCTCACTCAACAAAGAGACTGTTTTGTCTGTTTCCAGAAAACTTGTGCCAAAATTCTGGGAAGAGTCATAGTGTCCAAAAAAAAAAAACAGGTGACAATTCCTTCAGCATTCAAGATTGTTCATTTTCATCCTCAAATCATAGAATCATAGAATGAATGAATACAAAATAAGTTAAAAAAAACCAACTCATGGTAGAATTTTCTTGTCAGGACTGCATGGTTTCTTAATGTAGAGCTGGCTCAGCTTCATGAACCTCAAGTGTCCCACCAGCTGAGTTTCAGCAGAGGCTTTGTCCCTACAAACTCCGGCTGAATAAGGCTGGCAGTGCTGTGTAAGAAGCTGGCCACCTGACCTCTCCATTTCTTAAAATCAGAAGAATAGGAATAAACTACATCAAATTAAAGAACATCTGAAGACAAGGACTAAAAAGACTTAACCTATTTGTGTTCTGTCCTGCTTCTTTGTGACTGAGCAAGTAGAAAGGCAACTAAAAAGGTTGTGAGTGGGCCTCCTGTTCTTGCATTTGGGATTCCCTTAAGAGAAGGCAAGGCAAAATTAAAGCATGAAACAGGAGCTGAAACTCTCGTAGCCAGATTTATTTTTTGGCAACTTAGATTAGCAGGCTTTTTTTTTTTTAACTGCTTAAATGACAGCAGGAAAGAAATTGGAAAAGTAACTTGAGGCTTCTTAGGTAACAGCAGGTAATAAGGAACAGAACACTGTGTCTCCAACCATCTTGGCATTCATAAAGAAATACACAAACCAGCTCCCTGAGGATAATGAGCTATTTAGTGAACAAACTGACATTGCTGCTTTCCAGATACTCAAATGTTGCTTCCCATTAAAAAGGGATTAATCTCTTTTTCCTTCCACCCCTTGTATGATTAGCTGAACCGAGCACAGGGTCACTGGGGTGGAGGAGCTAATCTGCCGTTAGCACTAAGTCACTGAGAGCAGTGAATGTTTCCATTACTTTAGAAGAGAGGCCACAGGACTGCACTGGTAATTTCCTTCTCAGCCTATGTTTTCCCCAACATTGGACACTTCAAAGATTCAGCTGGACAGCGTGGTGGGCCATCTTGTCTAGACCATGCTTTTGCCAAGAAAGGTTGGACCAGATGATCCTTGAGGTCTCTTCCATGATTCTATGATACCTGGTCAGTGACTGAATCCAGTTCTAACTGAGGTATCCTCAAACTTAGTGGAGATGAAAGTGCCATCCTTTTCTTCCAGGCAGCTTCAGAAGCCAAGCTGATGAAAGGAGCTGCCAACTCTCCTCTTCCACCTTGGCCGTGCACCCACTCCATTCCATGCCACGCTACCAAATCATACCGTTTGTCAGGAGCACAGTGTGACCAAAGCAGCAGGCACGGCCTTGGGAAGCTGCCTCGCTCTCCATTGCCTTGAGAGACTCTGATACAGGGCCTGTCACTCCCAGCTACCTTACTCGGTTGCCATCTTTATTGTCCCCCTTCCTTAGGGACCTTTACACAAAATCCAAGTAATTTTAATTCTGCTGTAGAAAAATCTTTTCTTTTGTGCCAGGAAAAATAGGAAAGCATCTCAAGAAATAAGATGCAAAATCTTTTACTCTCAATATTTGCTTTGTCAAAGTTAAGATTATAATGAATTAATATAGACCATAAACTTATAGTCCAGGAAGATCTGAGTTCCCATATCAAGATACCTGCTTTTGGACATAGTTTTTGTCACCTCTGTTTTATACTGGCAGAGTGTAGACATAAATCCTCTGCCTGCTATAGGCTACACCCAGATTTTTTGTGGGTGCTGTAAGAAGCTTGTACTCTAGTAACACCTTCACTGCCATTATAAATTGTTTGACCAAGTCAAATGGTTTAGTTGTCCATCAAAAATAAGATGCTTGCACCAGAAATACATATCTGGAGACTGTTTCCAGGCTGTAGAAGAAAAGAATGGACTGCTTTGGTTATTTTACTTCCTTTGGTGTTAGTTCTTACTCTCTTCTTTCTTTTTTATAATCATTGTACAATGTGAAAGACTTGAACAGAGTGAATCAATTATACTGTCTAACGTTTAACAGAAGTGTTGTACTACCTGTATAAATAAAATGAGAAAGGTCAGCAGAGAGAGAAGTCTTTCATAGATAATTAAATTTACAAAGAGACTGAAGGTGTCTGTCTGTCTAAGGCTGGGTTCATAATGACTTCAGTTAATACAGTACAACAAATCAATACAGCAGAACATTTAAAAAAACCCTTTTTTAATCAAGCCAACAAAGTTTTTGTTAATAGTAAATCTCTCCTGAGTTTCAAATTTTACTTGCAGAATTGTGCTTTAACCTCACAGTTGCTATTCTGCCTATGTGAAGTCACCTAGTTGTGGGAGTACAGCCTTCTCAGAGACCAGTGATTATGGAGAAGATGTCTTCATCTTCTGTGAATTAAAGAGTTATCCTTGGAGTTTGAAACTTTAAATTGGTCATTCTTTTTTTCTAAAGAGCAGAACAAATGATATTCTGTGAATTAAAGAGTTATCCTTGGAGTTCGAAACTTTACATTGGTCATTCTTTTTTTCTAAAGAGAGAACAAATGATTTTTCCAAGGAGTTAGTGGAAGGTGCTCAGCTCTGAAATGGCTCTGTTATACCAGAGGCTACCTTCTGTTTCACTAGAGGCGTACTCATATGCCATTAATTGAAATTAAATTACAAGTGCAATTGCAATTTAATTCCAAAGATAAGGCCTATTGGTTTTTCTCTTACTTCTTGCCAGGTTTTGTTCTTTATTAATAAAGGATATTTGTTTCACTTGGCTTTTCTCTCCACTGAAGAGCTCACCTGCTCTTTATTCACAACATGTATTTCTAGTCTTTCATTAGTGCACACAGCCTTCTGGTGATGGTATTGGAAACAATGGCTGTTCGCAAGAAATTCTGATTGCAGAGAAGACAGTGCCTCTTCTTTTTTCCATATAATAAAAAAAAATAAGTATGGGAAATCTCTGCTTTTCAGATGTTCTTACTGCATTTTTTTTTCCCTTTTTCCCACTTCCACCCTTTTCAGATGTTCTTACTGCATTTTTTTTTTCCTTTTTCCCACTCTTCCATGCATTTTCTCCTCCCCAGTGTTCTCAAAATATCAGCAATTCAACTGATACTTGCCAGGATTTGATATTCACTAGGGAGTCCTTCCATGCTGTGTAAGTCTGGTTTACGCTGGGTAGCAGATCATCAGCAACACCAGCAACTAAACTAAGTTGTTAGATAGTAATATCTGAACTTATGAATTTATGATGTTTTTAAGTTTCATCACGTTTTGTCTGAGTTCTCTGTGTTTTTTCTGTGACTTTAGGTCTCTGAAATTGATCCAGAAAAATTTTCCAGTAGAATAGAGTGTGAAAGTCCTAACAATGACCTCAGTCGCTTCCGAGGCTTTGTGTAAGTACCCTTGGTGGCTCTTCAAACTATTGTCATTTGCTTTGGTGCTCTTACTAATTTTCAGAGTCATCACGTTTTGTCTGAGTTCTCTGTGTTTGTTTTTTCTATGACTTTAGGTCTCTGAAATTGATCCAGAAAAATTTTCCAGTAGAATAGAGTGTGAAAGTCCTAACAATGACCTCAGTCGCTTCCGAGGCTTTGTGTAAGTACCCTTGGTGGCTCTTCAAACTATTGTCATTTGCTTTGGTGCTCTTACTAATTTTCAGAGAGCTTGTAATGTTTGCTTTAAAAAATAATGACAGTAATGTATATAAGTCAGTTTGCACAACTACGTTTCTGGGTGCAGCTCAACAGATAGAGCTCCAGAAGGGCTTTCTGAGCAGCAGATGGGGGACTGTGAAAGCTCAGTAGTGCTTCTTATTTTGTATTGGATATTTTCAACATCCTAGTTCAGCCTGTTTGCAATTGTGCATTCCATATTTGAAATAGCAGTTTCAATCTACCCTTAATAATGTGTTTTCTACGGTATCTGGTCTGGACCATGGCCTGATTGGACAAGCTGCATTTCTCAGAATTGGAAATGGATGGGCTTCCTCTCGTTACTTGAGAATTTATGATGTTTTTAAGTTTCATCACGTTTTGTCTGAGTTCTCTGTGTTTTTTCTGTGACTTTAGGTCTCTGAAATTGATCCAGAAAAATTTTCCAGTAGAATAGAGTGTGAAAGTCCTAACAATGACCTCAGTCGCTTCCGAGGCTTTGTGTAAGTACCCTTGGTGGCTCTTCAAACTATTGTCATTTGCTTTGGTGCTCTTACTAATTTTCAGAGAGCTTGTAATGTTTGCTTTAAAAAATAATGACAGTAATGTATATAAGTCAGTTTGCACAACTACGTTTCTGGGTGCAGCTCAACAGATAGAGCTCCAGAAGGGCTTTCTGAGCAGCAGATGGGGGACTGTGAAAGCTCAGTAGTGCTTCTTATTTTGTATTGGATGTTTTCAACATCCTAGTTCAGCCTGTTTGCAATTGTGCATTCCATATTTGAAATAGCAGTTTCAATCTGCCCTTAATAATGTGTTTTCTATGGTATCTGGTCTGGACCATGGCCTGATTGGACAAGCTGCATTTCTCAGAATTGGAAATGGATGGGCTTCCTCTCGTTACTTGATTTATTTTGTGTAACCATCAGTCACTTATCAAACCCCTTTTGACAAACATGCCTGTCTGTCTCTTCTTCTTGCAGTTTTATGATTTTCTATAGACAGTAGGAAAACAAAATGGTGTTTCATGGGGTGACTGATTTTTAGGTTTTGAGAGTTATAATGTTCGTATTCTTCCCTGTGGGCACTGACACATTAGAAATATGAGAAGAAAAATAAATACATATAAACCTTAGTCTCTGAGGAAACAGCTTGACAAACAGTGGGCCTGCCTGCACTGAAAGTATCCCACAGCAGTAACGATGCTCACAGTGTATTTAAAACGTGATCTTATATTTTGTTCCATTTTTTTCTGACGTTGGCACTCCCGAGTCGAAGTCGTAGGCTTTCAGAATTCCAGTGTTTGTCTTGAGCTCTTTTCAGTAGTGTTGCCTACTTCTTCTATGCCTACTTCTTCTCATGTTGCCTACTTCTCATATGCCAGCTGGCAAATGGTAGGCTTGTAAACACAAGAAAATTTTAATACAGTGCCTACATGCCTGAATTTTCAAAGGTGATGTTACTCCATTCTTTTGAAAAGTCCGATCAGGAATACCAGAATAGCAGTCAGTGATTAGCAGCTTCTTTGGGAAATCTGCTCCCTAATGGTTTTGCAAAGCCTGACTGGTAACTGCTGGAGTCCTACAGCTGAAGTAATGTGCTTCTTTTTTTATAGTGAGCATTCAAACAAGGAACGAGTGGGCCTCAGCAAGGAAAACTTACTGCTCCGAGGATGCACAGTAAGAAACACAGAAGCTGTTGTAGGCATAGTGGTATATGCAGGTTAGTGAACCTCCCCAGCCTTCACAGATTGCCTTACGAACCAAATAGAGTTATGTGCCCTAAGAAACAGCATCATGCTGAGGGAAATTAGGACAGCAAAAGCCTGAATTCAGGAGAAGGCAGCTGTAGCTGGAAATGTTAAGAATGCACATCTGGATTAAGCTTGTTTCTGTTTTAGCAATGTAAAGAACTGATGTGTCTGACTATCCATGGGAGATCAGCTCTTCCATGTGAACAGGTCCTTGTCCCCATCTGTTAGTTGTGATGGTGAACCCAGGTTTTGAATGGACATGGAGATATGTGACTTGCTCTTTTCTGGTCCAAAACTGAAGCTAGAGCTGTTCTTCAGTGTTCTGTATCAAAGGGCAGAGGTTTTTAAAGTAATCAGTTTGACATATCTAGCCCAATAGTTGTAATGCATGTGCACAGTTTTTTAGGAAATATTAGAAACAATATAGAAAATGTCAAAAATTGGATTGTTTCTATCAAAAGGAATGTTATTGACAGTCTAAAAGTCAATATGTACGTGACAGATTTTGGTTTAGCTTGTTTGGTTTTCTTTAGGACAGAATTTGTATATTGTAGCAGCAGTTAGTTTACTCATATTAGTAATCTCTGTTCAAATATTAGTTAACGGAAGTGTCCCATGTCCCCGAGCTTTAGAAATATAAATCTCTTGTGGTTCTGACATCTGCTAGTAGAGAATTTCAACCTGTGTTGTGTTTACAGGCCATGAAACCAAAGCCATGCTGAATAATAGCGGCCCTCATTACAAGCGCAGTAAATTGGAAAGAAAAGTGAACACTGATATTCTTTGGTGTGTTCTGCTTCTAATTTTGATGTGTTTAACTGGTGCAATAGGTAAGTGAGAATCAGCAGACTCCTGCTATTTTCCTCTCTCAGCCTACAATGATTAGTGTTTTATATTGGGGCTGATTCATCTCTTGTGGTTCTGACATCTGCTAGTAGAGAATTTCAACCTGTGTTGTGTTTACAGGCCATGAAACCAAAGCCATGCTGAATAATAGCGGCCCTCATTACAAGCGCAGTAAATTGGAAAGAAAAGTGAACACTGATATTCTTTGGTGTGTTCTGCTTCTAATTTTGATGTGTTTAACTGGTGCAATAGGTAAGTGAGAATCAGCAGACTCCTGCTATTTTCCTCTCTCAGCCTACAATGATTAGTATTTTATTTTCGGGCTGATTTATTTTAGCAGCCCATCTCAGAAACTCTCTTTATCCATGTGTAGTTCCCTAGCAGCTGGGGATGCTGCCAGGTTTTAGTTCATGTTGTCGTGTTTAATCTGGAGTGTGGTCAAGAAGTATGTTCCTGGTGTGAGTTCTTAGGTCTGGAACCTGTTTCTCTTTTCTGTCACTAATTGCTCTGCAAAACTTCTACTTTCTCTTAGGATTTTTCAGGTAACATGAGATGCACGTACAGCATTGTGGGGAGTTCTAAGGACTTGCTATTTTAGGAACTGTTTAAATAGTGAGCCTGAGTAAATCTAAACAGACTAACTTTTATGACAAGACAAAAAGGTGTTTAAAACGTTTGAAAAGACTTCTTCAGACTACACTTAATGATGACATGGTGCTCACATTTTGACTAAAATCTGGACCAGCAAAGATAATACAATTAATTGCCAGAGGTTTCTCTGGGGGAGGGAAAAATATTTATCAAGTGTAGTTAGTATTTCTTTCGGTCTGAGATGTGCTGTATAGATGTGCTATTGATAGAAATGCACGTAAGGTATTTATTCATGTGTGCATTGATAATTAATTTTAGTGGTGTTCCTGTTGAGGAAAAACTGAAGAGGTAAAATGGTAGATTAAAAGCTTACAAGGAAGTGCAGAGTGTAAAACCATGACCTTGAACTGGGACACAGTTTACATATAACTAACTCACTTTATCTTGTTCTTGTTTTCAAGGCCATGGAATTTGGCTAAATAGGTATTCGGAGATACCTTTTTTTAACATCCCTGAGCCAGATGGGAAATCAATTCCTCCAGCGTTAGCAGGGTTCAATATGTTCTGGACGATGATCATTTTATTACAGGTAACTTTGCTTTGAACATGGGTCATATTCTGATCTCATTTATATCCTTGAAGTAACTCTACAACTTCAGTAGAGCTACTTCATATCTGCAACTGGCCAAAGAGTTTGGTTTTATTTAATTCCCATGTTTTATTTTGGTAGGTCTTGATCCCAATTTCTCTCTATGTTTCAATTGAAATTGTCAAACTGGGACAAATTTATTTAATACAGAATGACATTGATTTTTACCATGAGAAAACAGACTCAACAATTCAGTGTCGAGCACTGAATATTGCTGAAGACCTTGGCCAGATTCAGTATATCTTCTCTGACAAGACTGGAACCCTCACTGAAAATAAGATGGTTTTTCGGAGATGCAGCATCGCAGGACAGGAGTATTGCCATGAGGAAAATGGTAAGATACTAAACCTGTGTTCACAGTGGGTTGTTTTTCTCTCTCAGAGAAGCTGAAAGTTTTGATAGGGGTCTGGTGGACTTTATGAGGTTTGTGTGACAATACACAGTCATGGAAGGTGTGAATTCAGACTGATCCTACAAATAGCCATGCATCTTTCCCCATTATTTGGATCCCTTCATACATAGTGCGTTAAGAGGCTCGAAGTCTGTATCTAGGGGGCTGCTTTTCAGCTAGTCAAGTTCCAAAATACTTGATACCATAAACAAAATATTCTTTACTCCCTGTGGAGGAATTAATCCCTACTGTGTTTTGTTTCTCTCCTTGCAATATCCAGAACCCAAAACACTGGAAAACTGCCCATCTAGTTTTTCCTCTCTTTTTTTTTTCTTTTTTTTCCCCTCAACTGGAGTCCCAAAGCTTACCTGGCATTTTGGGTTTCAAACATCCTGTTGACTGCCATAGCAGTGTACCACCTTTATGGAGTATATCTTAAGGCTTCAGTCCAACATACTGTTGTCCTTGAGGATACAGTAAGCCAGATAAAATACATGTTGAAGTCAGAGCTTTAACAGTAATCTTAAGATGCAAGTCAAGCAGGTGTGTGTACACGTGTGTGTTAGCGCTGCAAAGATAAGCACCTCCATCAAAAATAATGATTGTTGTGTTCTTACTTTTATCTTACACACCTGTTTCTTGTTAGCCAGAAAGTCAACAAGCAGTGTTGCTGCATAGTTGCTGCCTCAGTGTGCATTTCATCAGAGCCTACTTGGAGCCTTCTGGGAGACAGGAGAAGGTGCAGCTCCAGACAGAAGAGAAAATTCGTCTTCAATTAGCTATTTTATTAATTAGATAAAACCACAAAGCTTTTATTACTGTATGTAAGGACTAGTGGCTGCAGACGTTTGCTGTTTTGCTGGTGGGCAATGCAGGTGTTTCATGTGAGGTGCTGACAGATGGACACGTGAAGCCCTGCTCTGTGTTAAACCCCACTTTTGTGGTTTTGGTGGCTTTGCTGCCAGATGGAGCTGCTCACAACTGCGAGCGAAAGGCACACCCTGCTGGCCACAGCACTGAATCGGTTCAGCCCTTCTTTTTCTTGTGTCACAGGAGCAGACGGTTACATCCATTTTTACAATAATTTCTACACATATTTTGAACATTTTATGGTGCAAGTGTCCGGGTGGTTCTGTGGTTTAGCTTAGTCGTACTGGGAAGGATGACAACAGCAAAGTGAGAAGAAATATTTCCAAGTTTCAAACTTGGTGAATGAACAACTTAAATAAAAGTAGAATGTATTTTCAGAGTATTTCCTAAAGGAAGTAAAAGTATTTCAGAAGACATAAGTTAAAGAGCAGTGTGAGTGATGTAGTTGTGGCTGATCCAGGTCTCGTTGTGTCAGGGAAAGTGTGTCTACCCTGTACTTCTGCTAGTAGTTCACTTAGAGTTATCTTCCAAAAATATTAGTGTGTTAGTTATGTTCATAATTATTTCCCATTCTGCCCTATCTTTTACCTGGAGGGTAAGCATGTGCTTCTTCCTAACAAATCTAGAAATTAGGTAAGCCCTGAAAATCAGTTTGAAATATCTTGCAGGTCTTGTGTTTTAGTCCTGTTTTCCATTTGTTTGGTTGCTTTGAGCTGCTATTTGCAAGGGTCCTGCTACACGTGGTAAGAGTTGCAGTGCAAGACACCATGGTCTTTTGCACACAAGCCACTTAGTCTGCACAGATATTTCTGTATTTATATCTGTATTGCCCAGGGATGCACATGAGGACAGCACACAACAGCAACGACTGTGATTCAGTAAAATCTTCCATATAGGTGCCCCCATGCAGTGTTCTGTCTAAAGCAACGTGTGCCTTTTGGACCATGGCAGCAGTGCAGCATGGTGTTATAAGAGGTGCCACAGATATTACTTCAGACAGAGGTCACATGTACTATGTACTAAATTCCTTACTTTAAAATTTTGTTTCCTGAACCTCCAGGCAATGTTTTCGACAAGTTTCTTGTTTCTCATGGGCCAATAATGGATTGTCTCCTTTTCCATAGCAAAGAGGTTGGACTCCTATCAAGAGTTGGATTCAGAGGATGAGGATCCAGCTGATCGTCAGTGTGGCTCTTCAACCCACATGTTAAAACCACAGGGACTCAATTGTGGAGCTGTGAATGAACCTTTGAACAGAAAGTCTTTGAATGAGTTGTCTGGGAGCTACCCTGCACTAGGAAGGGAAGATGGAGCAGGTGATGCTCCCCGTTCAGGACATGTTGCTTTCAGCAGCCCCATTGTAAGTTAAAGCTGTTGGTTTTGATGCTAAATGTCTGAAATAGAACCATAGAACAGTTTGGGTTGGGAGGGACCTTCAAAGGTCGCCTGCTCCAACCTCCCCTGCAATGAGCAGGGACATCTTCAACCAGATCAGGTTGCTCAGAGCCTTGTCCAACCTGACTTGGAATGTTTCCGGGCATGGGGCATCTACCACCTCTCTGGGCAAACTGGGCCAGGTTTCATCACCCTTATTTTAAAGAATTTCTTCCTTTCTCATTGTCCTGTCACAACAGGCTCTGCTAAGAAGTTTGTCCCCATCTTTCCTGTACGACCCCTTTAAGTACTGAAGGGCCACAATAAGGCCCCAGAGCCTTCTCTTACGAAGTAACTCATGACAGAATATCTTTTTACCCCCATTTGGTCAGAGTGCTTGTCACTTAAGAAATCCTTTCTCTCTCCCATCAAAACCAGAGCCTCCCATGATTGCTTGGCTGCATCCTATTTGCAGCTGGCATTGCAGATTTTTGTTGGGTCACAAAGGTGGATGCTTTGGTTCTTGCTGCTGTGAGTCCATGACCACTCCAGCTAAAATGACCAGCGTCATCTTAATAACAGTTTGTTCTTTTGTTGTTAAGAAGTTTCTAGCATTTTCTTTTGTTTTTTTGATAGAAAATATCTAGATGACCAATATTTATTGGAGGTTACAAGAGGTAAAAACTCAGGCTTCTGTACCTGAAGGTGTCTAAGTAGCATTCATCATACTTAGTCTTTGTTGAACTGTCTACAGACAGCTCTGTTGTTGACCTCTCTGGGCATGAAGTTTGCCATTTTTAATGGGTGAGCACAAGGCAGTGAAGACACCAGAGTGTTCCTTTATTTCTTAGTGTAACCAACTCAGCATCTAACTGGAGGGGAGTTATATGAGCGTCTACACTTCATTCATCTGTAACTGATTTAGCCTCCAGAGACTGAGATTAAGTTTATATCCTAACGGACATGTTTGTTCCTTTCATCAATAGGAAACGGATGTTGTACCAGACACACAACTGCTGGAGAAGTTCAGCCAAATTTCTTCTCATTCTTATCAACAATCAGAAGAAGGTAGCAGCGAGTCATCTTTGGAGACAATGTACGTCGCTGACTTCTTTCTTGCTCTGGCAATCTGTAATACTGTTGTAGTTTCAGTCCCCAATCAGCCACGTCAGAAGGTAAGAAGCCAATTATTTTTGGCTATTTGGCCATGTACATAAGTAAATGAGCTGCCTTTGCTTTGATTACAAAAGGAAAAAAAAATAATGGACATTCAAAAAATGATTCTTTTCTCCTCTAGTAGAAAAGAAAAAGAGAGGAAATAAAGTATTGATAAGCTATTGTGTTTTTAACAGTACTTGTAGCTATTTACTGTGAAGGGTATGGGGCTGGTTTATTCTTCACAAATATCTTGCTAATTCAGAACAAGGTTTTAAGTGTTTAGTTCCACGTCCCACAACTTTTAAAAGTTATATTGTGATACTAACTTTCATTACTGAAACAGTTCTAAAGAGAATTATTACATGGAGTCATGAATCAGACTTGGAACACATACAATTTTCAGATCTGAAGTATTTTTACAATTCTTTTGGTTGGAATATTGGAGCTCTTACAGAGGCTGTTTAGTGTGCTCATGGTTATATGTTTAATTGAACTGACTATCTTTAATATAAGGAATCAAACTCCTGGTAAATTTTAAAATACTACATTCATTAAGAAACATACATGGTTTGTAATCTGTCTTGTAATAAAATATGAAGATTTCAATGTAAACATTTTCTCTAACTGTTCTGTTCCAGATGCGACTCTCCTCGCTGGGTAGGATGCCTCTGAAATCTCTTGAGGAAATCAGGCAGATGTTCCAGAGATTGTCAGTCCGGAGACTAAGTTCCTCCCCAGCTCCAAGCGTGAAAGAGTCATCACCTGAAAGCCCCAACAGTTTTGTGAGCAAACTGTCTATTTTCAGAATGAAACTGGCTTCACCTGCTTCGGATGGAGCTGCTCAAAGGGCTGCTGAGCCTCACGATACCGAGAGCCCAGAAAATTCCCAAGTGCCTGAGGAGGTAGATATGGTGAACGTAGCTGCTGGCAGTGAAGACAGCAGTGCTGCCTCCTCTATTGAACTGTCTCCCTTGTCTAAGCTGTGTTATGAAGCCGAGAGCCCAGATGAAGCTGCCTTGGTTCATGCTGCTAGAGCTTACAAATGTATTTTACAGTCTAGGACCCCAGATCAGGTGACTGTGGACTTTGCAGGTCTGGGGTCTTTAACGTTTCAGCTGTTGCACATCCTGCCTTTTGATTCCGTGCGGAAAAGGATGTCGGTGGTGGTTCGGCATCCAGTCTCCGGCAAAGTGGTGGTGTACACAAAAGGTGCAGACTCAGTCATGATGGAGTTGTTGGGAACTGCATCTGAAGGTATCTATAGAACTTGTAATTCTTTGCTCACCTTTGTCATTCTGCAGTAGAGTTGAACAGGTGGCCTGATTCATGAGAAGAGACAAGTGACCCAGCAGAGCTATTATCTGCACATAGTTCCTTAGAGGGAACCCAGAAAAGGTAGTGGTGTTTGTCACCTGGATATGGCTGAGAAGAGAGAAGCAGCTGTTATTCAAAGGATTAAATGGTGTCTAAGCAGAGCCTTTGGAGCCAACTGAAGTATTTCCAGTTATAAAGTAAGGTCATCTGCTTGAATAATTGGCATCTGCTACACGATAAGGCGTGTTTATTAGAATGAGATACTTTCTAGCCTTTACCTATGTTCGTGTTTCTGAGCTGTTGGAGAGGGGTTTCAGTAGCAGATGTTGCCTATTGGTGCTTTTTGAGGTTTTTTCCCTCGATTACTGACTGTTTCTGTGTTTCTAGGTGTAACAATAGTATCTGTAAAGTTGTGTGGTGCCTCCTGGTGGGCCTGTCCAGGGATGAATGTTTTTTGAATATGCCACAGGATGGATGTACCCTGTAGTTTAAGCACTAACTGATTTATTCATGCACTGTAGCAAACAGTCATTGGTTTTTATCTGAAGGCAGTAAAGAGAAAGTATTAGCTGTGTATGTTAGAAATAAATACCTAACTAGATTTAATTTAATAAGATGTTCCAAGGATTCTTTTTTAATGGTTTGGAAAGTAATATAAAGGAATTATTTGTAAAGGCTTGCTTACTGCCCTTTTAGCTCCCTCCCATTAGACCAGTGACAGTAAAGCTGCTTAGGTGTCTGTGGCCCAGGTCATCTTGGAAAATAATTTTTAGAGAAACATTTTGATAAGCTAGTGGCATCCAAAGATGATAGATCCAAAGATCTGTCAGTACCACGTGGGTTCCCCCTCACTGCTTGTGCTGACTGGCACACTGTATGCTCACTATAGAGACAGCCACAGTAC